TTTTCAAGCTCCGCCAAACCAAGGTACTTGCAACCCAGCTGCTTGTCGGCTTGATAAATTTCTCGGCTAACCTCTTCCTGGTAGCCTACCCTCCTCCCCCTCAACAAGGCACATATCCACCACCACCCCAGAACTACAACTACCCGCCTCCCCCTACAGGCCAAACTCCCCAGTTCGCTCCACCGCCGGGTGGCCATGGCTCCCCGCCTCCGCCCGCAACATCACCGCCTCCGGTAACGTCAACACCTCCGCAAATGGGCCATCCCACTCCGCCTCCAAAAATGGAGCAGATGCCCGGCGGCGCGCCGCCTGTTGGCCAGTTCGTAGGAGCCCAGTCCACCGCTGCAGACGACATTGGCACATTCAATGGAGGGAGCTATCGCATCAGCCACCGCGATTCCAACTCAATTTTGACTATTCAGCTTGCAATGGGATGCCCATTGACAGCAAAGCCTGGTACGTTTTATTGGGAGTATTCCATCACCGCGCAACAAAGGTCCCCTTCTTTGTTCCTGCTAACCGGCGAATCCTGCCAGGCGCAATGATTGCGATGTCCCCCACGGTCACGCTCAAAGGCTCGGTAAAATTCTCAATGAAAAAGATGCTTGCTGGCGGTGAGATGTCAACTTCGACATACACAGGCCCAGGCGAGCTACTGTTGGCTCCATCGGCACTAGGTGATATCTCTGTACTCCGTCTCAGCGGCCGCGAGCAGTGGTCCGTTGGTAAGGACGCGTTTTTGGCTGGTACCCAAGGCATTGTCAAAGACTACAAGCGCCAGGGCTTAAGCAAGGCCATTTTCTCCGGAGAGGGCCTGTACACATATATGGTATCCGGCACCGGTATTTTGTTCATACAGAGTTTTGGCGCCATTATCAGGAAAGATGTACGTTTTCACCCCCTCATATCGACTTATCATACTAACCTTTTGTGGCAGCTGGCTAACGGCGAGAAATACATTGTTGATAACGGCCATCTCGTCGCTTGGAACTGTGGCTACGTAATGGAGCGTATCGCATCCGGGGGTATCATCTCCGGCCTAAGTTCCGGAGAAGGCCTGGTGTGCAAGTTCACTGGACCAGGGACCGTTTACCTCCAGACGAGAAACGCACAGGCTTTCGGACAGTGGGTCCTGGCGAATGGCGGGCCAGCCGGAGCCTAAATGGATATTCTAAATAACATCGGCGATTTGCATGTTTGAATGAAAACCAACATCTTTAACTTGACTTTTGGATAACCGCAACGATTTATAATAGTCTTAATGAGTGGGAAAAAGGAGAGGTGCGGTTTTGACTTTTTGGAGCCATGTATATAAAAAAAGAACACAAAGGTCCTACTGGGATTCGAACCCAGGATGCCGGAAAGCTTGGTCAGAAGATCAAAATCCGGAGTCATAACCACTAGACCATAGAACCGTGGCTAATACAACAACGGGACCCACTGTTATATCAGGGAGTAATACACGCCCATTCTAAAACCCACTACATATTTGTATATGATTTATCCTTACAGCAATACTGCGGAATTCTCACCCCTTATCCCCTTTCCATTAAGCAAACAAGTGCGACGATGCTATAAAATACTATGCAATCCGCACTAGCAACCGAAGGCATGAATCATAAACCAGGGATACCATCAATCAACAGAAAACGCGAAGCACTTTGATAGGAAGGGCATGACAAAAAAAAGGTAAGAGACCATCCAGTCGTTACTTTTATACGGAGAGAACGGGGTGCTTGCCACGAGTGAAGCATAGATGATACTAAATCTACTGCTGTCTCTTTCTCCTTCCGACCTGGCCACGGAAACCCGTCTTGATAGCAGTGACGCTACGACGACTGCCACAGGAATTGCAAGTAACGAAGTACAAGCGATTTTCTCCCTTGTTGAGCTCGGTGTCGGGGCTACGGCAGGTCTTGCACGTGACGTATTCGACTTCAAACGGGAGAAAGTTAGCAAAGAGTCCGGGGTATAGGAGCTGTTGGAACATACCGATGTATCGTCTTAGAACATTCTCAATTTGTTTCTGCTGGAAACGACCCTTGATAACCAATCGGCGACTACCGTCGACGGAGCCGCTAGTACCCAATTCAGCGAACAAGAACTGCATAACGTGGTCCTCTGATCGTTTCATTCTCTTGCAAATATCAGCGATATTGGCAAAGATGGTCCTCCGGTTACCTTCACGCAGGCACTGTGGTGGCGGGATCTTATAAGACTTCGATCCACTAGCCAACAAATCCGGATGATGGCTGTGAATGAGACTAAAGAAGCGGGTGACAAGGTACGAGTAGGGGATCGCCTGTGTCGCGTCGTGTGCCCAGATACCAGTTCCACTCTCGAGGTCCTGTGCGATTTGTTCAGGAGACGGCTGCTCTTCGGGAGCAGCTTCTTCCTCGGGAGCATGACCAGCTTCAGCGAGCTTGGCCTCGAAATCTCCGGCGTCAGCGACCTTCTTTTTCGAGCTACTCTTCTTTTTCTTTTTCATAGTCGACGGGTCGAAAGCGCCATCGGTGGCAGCATCCACACCGTCTGCTGCTTCTGCATCCTTCTTCTTCGAGGACTTCTTCTTTTTCGACAGGCCCTTGAAAAGCTCTGTCACTTCGTCAACGTCCTTATCTGGGGATGCTGTGGCGAAAAGCGTTTTTTAGCAAAGGTCTGCAACGAACAAGAAAACTTGTGTAATGGAATTGAACAGCATGAATAGGTAAATAGCTTACTGGCCGAATGCTTTTCAGCAGTGGTCTTTGGTGTGTGATCCGCCTCGGTGATCGAGCCGTTCGCATCCATAACTGTGGCACCCTCGCTGAACGCGACAGATTTTCTGTGCTTCTTTTCGGGCATCTGAACTTCCTATACCGTGGAATCATTTATATTAGCAATCTCACTGACGCAAATCATCCCGCCGCAAATTCGATTGCCAGCGGACTAATGTGGCGAGGATTGTGGGGGGGATAAGTACCGTGTCCGCCATGCTGGGCTCAACCTGAGTAGATTTTCTCGCAAAAACTGAAAAGTAAGGCTTGATTGCTCGATGTTAAATAGCTTCTCTTTATAGATAGTCGATTATCACCCGAACAGACCGATATTTGTCAGGGCAGTTGGTGAGGTGGAATCTTTCAATAGGTACTCGCCATGACTGCACTTATCAAGAGATGCAAAAACTTAATGACAAAGCAAACTAACTAGCCCATCACGTGAAAGCTAACCATCGCCCGGGCTCAACGCTCTCCTGGGATTCGGTCATGATCCAACGTCTTATCAAACACAGTTGCAACGATTCCGAGCCTTTGATAATCAGTGTAAAAATACGTCTTATAGATAATACAACGCTCCCGCTTGAATATCCTCCATCCGAACAGTCCACGCCTCTCCTTTCCCAAGTTTCCCAACCCCCCGCCCCGAAACAACCGTCCTCACCCTGCCACGAATAAACTATGTCTACCTTCCCCCCTCCCCCGCGCATTGACATCACCAACTCTCCCTCCGCCTCCAGCTACATGTTTGCCTCACAACTGCAACACGACTCCTCCGAAGAAGACATAGCTTCCCTCCCGTCCTCGTCGGCATCTGATTCCTCCTTGGAGGACCATATCTCCATGTACGATGAAGATGATGAAGATGACGAGTCCGATGCAGAGGCAGAATGGCGAGAGAGTATGCGACAGCTGGAGCTCTTGGTGACGATGGTGATAATACCGTTTGCGGGGAAGTTCTTGGGGCGGAAATGCGCTTATTGGGGTATGTCTTGATTTTCTTTTCAATCGCGCTGGGAACTCATGATTGATCTTTGTTTTTGTGGTATATAGGATGGGCCAAATTCATGGAGTGGCAATACCCTTTCGAGGCAGTCATCAAAGACAGGTCTCGGCCACGAAAAGTCGCTGCCGCTCTATGACGCGAAGAAGAATGGACGATTTACTCATAAAGTAAGTCTATATTCAGAATGCCACTGCAAACTACGAAATTCTAATATACAAAACTTTAAACAGTTATTCGGAGCCGTTAACCTTCAACAGTTATACCTATCTGGAAACAGGTTACGACTGAATATGGTCAATATTCAGAAAGATGCCACTCCAGTTGTGGCCCTTGGAAAATCGCTAAGCCGGAGGCCTCAGCTCTTGATAGGGATTCCATAATCCTGCGTTCCTAAAAGAGGGACTGCTATGGCTTCGAGAGGAAGGTCCTAGAAGACACGGCTTTACGAAGACCTAATCTCTGTCATTACATTTGTTTGTCCGGTGTTATCAAGGGAAAGATTGAAACAAAGTGTCAAAAACCGTGGTATCTTCGCGGAATTGTGTGTTCCTGCCACCATAAGTGGGCTCCTGGGTCAAGCCAGCAGTTTGGATAGAGTCGTGGTGATTCAAAAGCTCCTGAGAATGAAATTTTGGATTATCTCCCCAGTGTTCATCCATATTGGTTCCTGACATCAAATCTGGTCTCCATGGAGTGCCACTATATGATCCGCGGTTAGTAGCTACCTTTGTAACTTCTATTTGGGGGAGAGCATACGTGAATTGGCCACCAGCCCCAGTAATATCTTCACCTGAAAATGGGTGGCTTTCTTCCAAGGCGGAATTAAGGTTAACCCCCGCCATGAAAGATCCCAGCATGCCCACAGTTCCATAAGATGTACCTAAACTCGGTGACATATCCCCATCGACAGAAGTTAGATCGGGTTCAGGCAATTTCGCTATGTTGTGATTAGCCGTTTAGATATTAGGCGTGCAATCAAGGTATCAAAATAGATTATACATACCACCAGGTGGGATAAGGTGCTCGATTTTACACTGAAATGCGAGAGCAACGTATTAGGATCGAAGAGAAAAAACGATTCATCACGTGAAATGGCACTCACCGAACGATGATTCTTTTTACAATCCGCACATGCACCACCCAGCTCGCGGATCAAAGCTGTCTTCCATCTTTCCTGTTTGGTCCGCTGTCTCCTTGGAGGGGGCACCTCGAGTTCCTTTCCAGACACCGAATCCCAGACTGAGAAATTGGGCCGCTTGCGGCTAATCAGATGGCCTCTAGAAGCTCCAAGGTTGCGACGGGAATTTGCATGGAGTTTACTACTCCGGAAAGATGTGCTTAAAATTGAACTTGACTGTGGAAATGAACAAGGAAATGAACGCCCAGTGCGGTCTACCCGCAACGAGGCTTTTGGAGGCTTAATAATGGAAATTGGCTCTAGAATAATCATCGAAATGTTAGTATGTCCGTTTTTGTTGGCAATAATCAACATGACAGTTCGTACATACCTGTAGCAGAGCATGGTTGGCGGTTACTACCGCCAAGATTTCCAGTCCCCGTCACCTCAGGTTCAAGCACAACCTGTGGGTACTGGGGAATATTAAGGAAGCGCCCATCGAAAATATCAAGATCCCATTCTAGATCATCGTGGAGCTCCGATGGCAAAAGGTCCTCAGAGATCTGGGGCGGAATTGCTGGCATGTCGTCCGCATTATGTGCTTCCAGTTGCTGGGACAAGGCCCACTCCCTTTGGCTCAACTGATTCAGGCTCCCATAATTTCCTTGAGGAATAAACGCGTTTGAGCAGTCCATAGGGCTTGTCAACATGGCGTTGTCTGGCGGAAAAGAAACAAAACTCTGGGATGCTCCACTATTGGCTGAGGATGCATAAAATGTGTTCTCTTTGGTGGTATGCCAACTCTGTGGGTTAGACATAAGAGGACCATTCCCATGAAATGACTGGGGTGTGTGCAGATAAGTACTTGACTGGTCATTTGGCCGTTGACTGTTGCTTTCATAAAGAGAGCATGCGGCAAAAACGGCGTCATGACTGCCAATGTGTGCATTCCCCGGGTCATTCCCATTCGGTTGGCCCAGGTTGTGCAAATTGCCATGTGGACTTGCTGTTGTATCCCATCGGAAATCGGCGATTTGTTCAGGAAGAGAATCCATATTTGCCGTGTCAATCGAAAATCACAAAAGCTTTCCACGCAATAACCGTACAAGGAAATGAATCCAATAACGACTGGTTGAGTGGAAAGCAAGTGGCAAGTCTCAGCTTTGCACGTCAATGCACTCTGAACAAGTCTGGATAATCGATGCAAACCCGCTGGTCATGTATCCCATTCCAGCGGTTCCCTCGCCAATACGTCCAATGCGGAAAAACCAAAAGGCAGGTGCAAGCAAACTAAATCGAACGATTAATATAAGAGCAAACTAAGCCGCGAAAACAGAGGAGTCTGGTGGATTTGCCGGGCGTTATTACGCTTCCCACCCCTTCTTCAATCGTTGGCTAGGCATCATGGAGGCAAGGGTCGAAGGTAACGAAGCACTCCCCTTCTCGAAAGACACGTACCTTTGACAATATTGCCATTGGAAGACAACATCAAAGAAAAGAAAATGGCATTCTTTTTTAGAATCAAAAATCCAAAGGGGAAGCCGTGGGGTTTCTATAGACGAAAAAGCAAAACGGCACCAACTTGATGATTGAGAGCAATTGGCTGGTGCACCCCGGTCTGATGCAGCTAGGGTGCGTTACCACTTTCGTCTGCCGCAAAAGGTTGGCTTGTGATAAACTGAAGGTTAAGTTACCGTTTTTGGGCCAAAACGATCGTTCGACGAAGCGAGAATCCTCGTTGGGTAGCTATATTAATGCCTGACACGGAAACGCCAGGAGAATAAGTACTAACTAGCCGACTTCGTAGGCAGCTTGCTCGTTAGCTGGCCCGCTTGCGCATGAGTACGCATGATTTCGGAGGAACGCTGGGCCTCAAGCGTCAAGATGGGAGATCCAGACCGACAGAGAAGGCGAGCTCGGCCCAGTTTCTTACCCCAGAAACTTTCCCCATCCATCCCGTGGGATCAGATGATGGACGGCGATGCATGCCCGGAGAACAAGTACTCCTTCACCATTATTGCTCTTGCTGATGTCCAGTCTCAGACACTGGTTTCCGTGTTCCGCCGATGGCCTTGGCGAGTTGAGCCGCAGTCTTGTCGTGGCTCAGTCCCCATCCAATCAACGCTCATCTAGTGACCGCCAAGCCGCGGGAAGCAGCTTAATCAGCCAAAGCAGGGTGTGATCGATGTCACCGTTGTGATCCTCAGGCATCGGAAAAAGCGGAAACGGGAAGATAAATCTCGCAGCCCTCCCAACAGATCAAATTCGAGAGCAATATCCAAGTTACCTTGTACTCCTACCCTAAACCCGCTTCCGCAGACTCTTTACTTTGAGGCGATCTATATCCCTCGGAAGTAAAGTGACAGAAAACAGTCAAGGAAGGATATCGGGTTTGCGGCATCCCAGCCTTCTGGACAGCAGTTGACTACTGCAGGTGCATCCAAATTCGTGGGAAAACACCCTTGGTTGTGAAGATCTTCCCCGCACTAGCGGCGTCGCCCGAGTCAGGTGTTGGCGATGATGATATTTTTAACCTTGCCAAAAGTTCTGGAAGCAATTTCAATAAAATATGGGCTGGCACCGCTAGCGGCAGAGCCTTGTTTGAGACTGAGAATTGAGCTTGCATCGGGTCCAAAACGTGAGCAAGTGGCTCCTGCCAATTCGCTGCTCAACACGCGCTAGGAATGAGAAGTTGAGGACCAGCGACACATGTCGAGGAAAAGGGCTTTGCTGACGAGTTCACCAATGGAATCAATAGCGCTTTGGATTGCCCTGAAGTGGCCACACTTGCTGACAGGTCAAAAAGCTTCTCCAAAGAATAAGGTTGAGTCGCACTTCGGGAAAATCATTTTAAACGAATCGGGGTTTTTCCTTTACCAGTGATTCACCGCCATCTGGCTCGGTTGAGTTGTTTTTTTTTTTTAAAAAAAAAGGCAAACCCTTCCAGGTTCCAACCTCCGGAGTCCGGAGATTGAGAGGAAACTTTCTGCCGCCGCTAAAAACCCCGGGGATCATTCTTCGAATCCCATGTTATCGTTATTCAAGTGGCAGCAGTGCTACCTGGGAGGTCGCGGGGAGGCATCCCGCATTTTCAGCTAGTTAACTAAGTTAAGCCTTATGGATGGGTCTTGACCAGAAGCAAATAATCAAAGATCACGTTTACGAGCTCTAACGGGTAACGAGTATTCAGCACATACTGAGAATTATTTTCGATAGAAAGGAATTAAAGAGTTCTCCCACGATTGACTCACCACTCCGGAGATCAGCACGAGGCTGACAAGCGGATGAAGAACAGATGCATCCCTCAGCCACCCAATAGAATAGCCGCGATGTGGCGCATGAAATTGCTTAGCCACACATGCCCGGCTTGACCATACATCGGGCTTCCAAAACTCAAGGTCAAGCGAAGAAACCCATTTCTGCCTGAATCATATCCAACACAGGGCTGGCTAGATGTTGGGAATTATGGTATTGCACTGCCTCACCAAAGCCATAGGCCAGCACGCCAAATGATCGGGAGTAAATCAACTCGAGTAGCTGGCTGTGTAGTATTTCTGGCTCGGGTTACGGCGTCTTTTCATAAGTACATCGCAGGCTTGACCTGGAGTAGACTAGTCACGTAAAAGAACAAAAGGTGAACAGAGAAGAGACAAAAAAAGGTATTGTAGGAGAGAAATGATTCGACGAGGCATGTTTAGATCCCGACCCAAGCCACGACCAAACGAAGTCGCTTTGTAGGCAGCATGGCGCCTGACGATTCTCTAACAAAGCTGTAAAGTTCTAACTTTCCCTTGGTAGATGCGTGGAGTCAGGGTCTCGATTTGAACCGGGGAGGGTATGATCGGGTTGGACATTCATATCTGAGCTCCTAGCACTGCCGCTTTTCTTCATTTTGCCCTTAATCCCATCGAAGTTGAGCTGGGCAATGAAGTCCCTTCTCTCGATAGATTCGCCGCTCGCATAAGGGGTCTGCAGGTCGTCAAGTTTTGATTTGGCGACGTGGAATGGATCGGCAATGTTGCCAGGCGTCAGGTATCGTTTCACCGGATGCTCGTTTGTGGCTTTGACAAGCCCTTGCACGAGCTTCAGATCGTTGTTCAATTGTTCGGCGGAGAACGCTGGCATTTGGGCTGCCGCCCCCGGAAACTTCGACGGGACCTGCGCGGACGGGATGGGGCCGTGCTCATCTAGGCCCTGTTTGCCGAGCAAAGCCATGCCCTGCTGCTGGTAGAAGGAGTGGAACTGCTCTTCCTTGACAGTGACGGCTGCGTGACTATTGTGCAATTGCGGCTCCTTCGACGAGAGTTAGGTTCTGAAGTAGTGGAGAAGAGACTGATGATTAAAACATACTCCCATAGGTGCGTGTTCCAACTGCTCTAGCGAATTCCGAGTTAACTTTGGCGGATCACGGCCTGCCATCTTGCTCTGGCACCTTCTTTGTGAGAAGATACCTAAAATCCGGGGCAGGTTGGGGAGGCTGCTAGCAAGGAGGTATGGGTGATAGGCGCTTGACGGAGACGCAGATAAAAAAGTAAGGGCTCTTTTCGTGGAAGAGCGGTTGAGAAAACCACAACTCAAAGCATTAGGGGGATGTGCAACAGGTTTGGGGAACAACAGAAAGGGACGAGGTGGGAGCCTTCATCATTTAAATAGATGCATTGCATCTTGTATAAGAAAGGAGCAAATACTGGGAACGGAATTGATTGGACTGTAGTCAAGCAATCGTGAACAAATGCTTGGTTCACGGATGGCCGTTCCTTACCCCCTGCCAAAATTCCGTAAATTTTGAAGTCCAACAGGTCTAGGCCGTATCATGGGAGAGCCCGAAAAAAAACAGTCAAGCGTCTCTAGGAGCAGACGGGATAGAAAAAACGGAATCGGTGGCTATTACCAGAGCAAAAATGCATCGCAGAACACTAAACCCCCAACTAGGGGGCCAATGATCGTTATCCCGCATATCTTTGCGACTGTTCAAGAGGCATGGCCACAAAAATAATAATTTTTAGTGGATTTCCGTGGAACATTTGAAGCGCAGGTGACAACCCATCAGTTCCTGCAGCACCAAGCCACAATCAGGGTACAAGACCCCTGCACCAAATTGACAAAAAGTAAAACTGGTAGGCTACCATACTCAACATCGCGGAGTATAAAGAATCTTCACGGGGTGCACCATGTGGCCAATCAAGCAGTCAGAAATCAATGACTTCCGGGCACGGAGTTCTTGGTTATGGGGACTGCTAGGGAAAAATTACATCGTGGCTCGCAGTGGGACGGGCCTGCAGGAGAAGCTCAGCTCTCCGTGAACTCCGCCGAGTAGAAGCCCGGTTCCGAAAAACGACGCCTTAAAAGGGCAATAAGGCCGTATCCTATGAGAGAGCCGGGCAGATCGGTCTCGCTTTCGACGACACTGGACACACGGACCGCAACATTCGACACAAACCCCTTGGAAAGAATCGGAGTCATTCTGCTGTCGCTCCCTAGCACCGCATGTGTAAGTGTTCGTTAGGCGCCGTTGTCGAGCCAGTTTCTGTATTCCGGTCTGGATGTCGTTGCAACAAACAGATGCATGCGTAAAAACAAGTTACGATCCAGTTGGCTAGCGCCAGTTGACTAAGCAACGTAGTTAACTAACTAACTAGTTAGTCAGGCGTCTGAAGGCTCTCGTCCTCGCAAAGGTGTTCGTTCCAAACCGCCCTGCAAATGACAAGTAGAATAATGATCTTCAAGAAACATTTGCCTATCTTTTCGGAAGGCCAACATTCCTCAAGGCAGAGACACAGGAGTTAATTTCGATGTTGTCGATCAACCGTATTCGCTGCCCTCTCCTGAAGGAACGTCTGTCAACAACAGATAGATTCCTGTGAACCAATCCCCCGGTTCACCCCGCCTTGAGCAAATTGTGTGGACCATGCAGCAATTCATCAATCACGTTCGGAGCCTCGAGTTACCCAAAACGAGGCTTGCTTTTCTGTGTTTGCTGTATGATTGAGAAGAAGTTCTCCGTCCTCCATGCCAACACACCGCTTAGGTTAGGGCGGCTGAGCAACCTGGCAGGTGAAAGGTCCGAAACCTAGTAAACCTGGGCTAGAGGCTGCCTCTGAGCGAACTGACTTGTGAAAAGCTGGACAGGGGAACCGCCTTTCCTTGTTTCAAGACAGGTGTCACTCAATCTCGCCAGCCAAAAACGACATGGTGCAGGTCGCCGACGCCAATTACAATGCACAAAGATGCTTTGTTGCAATAGTGGTGGAGGGAACACATGGACGGGCGAGCTTGATGCTCCGACTTCTCAGCGGGAAGTTAGCGAGGCTAGCGTGCATTGTAGTCCGGCCTTCTGAGCGTTTTCGGGGCCTCTCGCAGATTGTATAATGCAGTATCGCATGCTTCGATTGACGATGGCACCAAGAAGATGAATAAAAATGGAAACGCACCGATTGGCTGGGAAGACATAAGATGATCCAGCGCCATCATTACTCCGGACCGAAACAATTTAAACGAGCGCAGCGGTGAAGCGGGCGTAAGGGGGATGTGGGGGGGAAATTATTGAATATCGTGACAAGTGTGCAATTTGAACTTTGGGGACTAAAACAAAGGGCCATGGTGGGCAGTTTTCCGTCCCTTCGACCATGGATAACCAGTTCAGCTCGCAGGGCTTTTGCTGATTAACAATAACAGGCCGTTCGAGACCCTTGCTGCTCGTTTTCTGGGTACCAGGAACGCCAGAACGGTGCCTTTGGCATCTTTCTTTCTTTTTTTTTTCCTAAGATGACTGGGATTCAGAGGCAGCTAATGGAATATTTTTGTGCGGAGGGGGCCACAAGCAAGGCGTCTGCTTCTTATCGACTCGACGACTCCAAAGACCCGTTCGAGCTTCGCACGATCTAGACCTTTCCCCCTTCAGGTGCTCGTATAGGCGCAGTTGGTGATCTGCCGACAATCTAATAAGTGGGATGTCCCACCTTAAGCTCCCTCGTTCTTTGAAGCTCTTGACATGGTCTAGACTCATCGTTTCAAAATAAATTCGGTCGACCTGCAGCGACAACTCCAGGTCTAGATCCCAACATCAATCGTGCATCTGGACCCCTGTGTTTCCTTTGCGACAAGACTAGACTGGCGATGGCAGTACCCATCTCGACTGAAAACCAGAACCATGAGTTGTATGTCTAGGAGTATAGCATTTGAGCATTAAGAAAAAGCCAGAAACTTTACTTTGTAACATCACTCAGGTCGGCTCCAACGAGTCTTCCTAACATCAGCTCGATATGCTGGCGTAGGCAAATCAAGCTCTGTTGCGAACGTTGGCACTAGTTACGCGCCTGGCCATTTTTGACATGCAGTGGGCTGTGGCTGGGCAAATGTATCATTCCCAGCGGTTTGGTGAGATCAAGGAATTCGATGCCTCATGTGGGATGGCATGCATACCTGAAATGCTCTGCAGAATGTTGAGTATCCCACGGGCACAACAGCCTCGAACGTCGGTTCTAGACTTCATGGACCTTCTTTGACACGAACGTGTTTTCAACACCGAAGCCCACCCCGAACTGACATCTCCTTCGAGGCCATTTGCCGGCTAAAGTGCCGAAGCTGATGAATTTCGAGATCAGATCAGATTTGCGAATGCTAAGTGCGGCTGATGCATACCTAGCATGACAAACATCAGGCATAGCAGCTTGATGAGATATTTCCTTTCACCCAATCTTCACCCATCAATAACTTCAACAAATGAATATTATTGAAAACGCGACATTTTGCGTCTCTCCTCGAAATGGGATCACCTCCTTTGTTATATTGACCCCTTTAGGTACACTCGCCACCCCCTACCTAGTTAACCTGCTACGTGAAAATGTGACGTCACTCCACTGATTCCATCCATCTCTCCTTCAACCATCTACTCCGTTCCCTCAAAATTACCAACAACTCTTATTATTCAACCATTCCGATAATTCACCAAAATGTGCAGAAAAGACGATCCTGTTGAATGCACATGGACCTGCGGCCACACAGCTCCTCATATTCTCGGTTCTGAAATTATCTGGTGTGTTGAAGCCTCGCAGAGAGGCCGCCTTTGTGCCAATATCCAGCCCTTGGATCATGCGAAGATACGTACTTGGGCAAAAACAAGTGCGTGCCCAAATTGTCGCCCTAGACGAGCTTCGGAGCCTTCCAAATACGCACGTCACAGCGACGATGATGACGACGTGCACGACAAGGAACCTGTACCAAGGCGAAGGTTGGGTTCTCTCGGACCAAGTGGAGTCATAACTGGTGTTTAAAACGCCGTTGTGGTAGGTCGATTGTTATTCTGCTATGTTAGGAATGAAGACATGTTTGGGAGGAAATTAACGGTGTAATTCGCGCGCGACGGTTGAGGCAAACTCCTTAAGATACATCGACAACCTATTTTAGCTGTTTATTACTCTTCAGCGGGACCGTTTTAATGAGAGATGGGTGCCTGAAATGGCGGTTGAAGCTGACAAGCCACCCAGGTTGAATCATTGCCTGAAGTATTACCGGCGCGAAAAAGAAGTTAGCCATTTACACGCCGCTTCGAAAGTGAAGGTATATGCGCGTGGATACGATGGTTGTCAACAATCAATTCTTGATGAGTTTCACAGGAACAAAACAGATACTTATGGCATGCGTTCTGCTTGTGAAGATTTGGCTGTCCCGAGCGAAGAAAGGAACCATTCAAAATCATATAAATTGTGTTCCCACATAGAAAGTCGAAGAAAGACCGTGTACTATTGTGCAAAACTGCTTTTGGGGATAACTATCAGATGAAACTTAGGTAATCGATTTTTCAACAGGAATCGAATATTCCGATTCCTAAAAGTGGACTAACCTAAACAGGTTAATCCCCGAAAATTAATCTTACATAAGCTATTTTCGGAATAACCTGCACCCCGGTCCCCGTGACGGGGAGCTTCTGGCAAGGCCGAACCTCAGCACTGAACGGCTCTCATCCAGCTCACTCGGAACACTGCACTCATTATTTTCCCCGTGCTTTAGTTATAGCTCGCTAAATTTTCCCATTTCTCTGCATTTCTCCTTTCGTTCTGACAAAGCTTCGCGGTTTCATCATCAACTCCCCAGTCATGGCACCCGATGAACTCCAGGCTCTTGTGAAAGAGCTCCACGTCAGTCTTGAGAAAGAGCAGCTTGACCAAGCCCTTTCACTACTCAGCCGTTCAAAACGAGCCCTTCTACAGCTAAACGCCTTGATTCCTACACTCTCCACCCCTCCTCAGCTTTTCTCCCTTGCCCGCGAAGTACTAGAATTAGGCGCCATCACATCGATACGTCGAGGCGATGCTCCTGCGTTCACAAGATATTACCAACAACTCCAGCCGTTTTACGATATCGAGCGACATGTTATTGCTACTCAAAAAAATACGTCACAGCTGAATTTACAAACGAGCCAGAGGAGCAAAGTCACTGGCCTATACTTGCTCCTGTTGTTGAGTATGGGCAATAATACCGATTTCCATACGGTGTTGGAGGGCTTGGTGGAAGAGGCATCTCTCCAAGAACGTAATGTGGAAGACGATCCGTACATCAAGTATCCGGTTGAGCTGGAGAGGAGTCTTATGGAAGGGAGCTATGATAAAGTATGGAGGGAAACGAAATTGGAAAATGTCCCGTCGCCAGACTTCGGTTTGTTCTCTGATGTATGTTGTGGTTCCCGTAATACTTGCACGTCGATCGAGATTTTGGAGAAGCTAATACCGTAATTTAGATTTTGATTGGGACGATTAGAAGCGAAATCGCCGACTGCTCAGAGAAAGCGTATCCTTCCTTGCCTATTTCTAATACCAAAAACCTCCTTTTCTTCAACTCCGAAGGTGCCGTTATAGAATTTGCGAAAGAGCGTGGATGGACCTTAAAGGACGGAAGGGTATATTTCCCTTCACAGGAAGAGCAAGCAGGCGAAGTTGCTCCTGAGTCAGAAAAGCAAATTCACCTGACAGGCGGAAATATTATTGAGAATGCGATTGGATATGCGAGACAATTAGAAACAATCGTTTGATTCTTTTGCTCGCAATGGTCGTCTACCGATGGGGTGCAATGGGTTGTATCATACATCTCATTTTGATTTCTTGCTATGCAGCGGTAAATAAATGCTTTTATTCCCTGTGCTTCCGTCAGTCTAGAGGACAATCGGTATTCCAAGTTTCCCAAGTCCATCCATGTAGTCGAAATCTAGTTTCGACGTCTCGTTTGAGAAACCTTTCAACCCCGGGACCTTTATAATCAGATATTGGCTTTCCATACACAGACTCTTTTATCGTAGAAGCTGCTCGTCACACAAAGCACTGGGCACTCTTCTGCCGAGTTTTCCGGCCCGTCTCCCTTTTGTCCACCTCTGTAAAAGTCTGACGCATAGTTCATACTCTGGTGTTCTTTGAACTCAGCGAGCAAGTTGATCTCCCACTTCCCTTCTCCATCCTGGGAATTTCCTCTGCTAGCAAAATAGCTTACCCGGAGCAGCCTGGCTCCACCATGCATACAGCTGGCTAAGATTAGGTAGCTACGTCTCAGGTCCAAGTCCGACTGATAATGACGAGAACGAATATCCGTAGCTTGTGAATCCTCGATTTGAATTAGTCTGAGCCGCCAGACTCCTCCGCCTAGATTCTTGGAAGCTAGGACTTCGGCTCGACCTTTGAAGTGATAAACCCGGATATTTTCGTCATAGCTTCCCGTCAGGATAATGATGCCGGTCTCATCAGCGAAGAGCGGGAGAATCGCCGTAACGCCCGCGTCATGATGTCGACCACGGTCATCTAGTTGCCATGAACGAGAGGATACATCGTCGGTGCAGTCCATCTCAGTCAAAGTGGCCCCGCGGATATGATGCATGTCGTTGCCGGCAAATAAAACGGGAAGTTGTTCATCCCCAGTCGACTGTAAATAAAAAGCAACGTACCACACCTCAATGGGAAAGCCTCCGAGTTGAATCTCAGACAGTTTGGCATCATCATGGGTCCCGATGTCTGATTTGGTGTAAAATACCGAAACTCTCCCGTCTGAAAATGAAACTGCAAAGCCATCTTTGATATCCGGGGTGTCTTCTTTATTCTGCTGGCGGCTTCCCGTTGGAATCCAGGCAAGACATAGCGCAAGCTGAGCTGCGTCCTCATGGATATTTATGGAGCGGACAAATACTATCCTCGCAGAGAGGTTCAGCTCATCATTGGATATTTCTATCCGATAGAGCGATACCACCGATTTGCTTAATGCAACAGCAAATAAGCTGGGATCTCGCGGCGAGAACTGAAAGTCGAAAACTGCCGAATCTAAAGGCAAGCTCTGTACCGGGGAACTGCATCAGTTTGTCAGCAGGCTGCCAACTCTTCGCATTGGATCCCTCACAGTTGACATGAATGCGTGTCCAATTTGAAAAGCTGCAGGCTCCCCGTGCGGACTTGTGTCGGAGCTGGTGATCCTTCTTCTGGGACCTCATTGAGGAGATAGGTGGAGATGAGGAGATGGTCGGGAGCCGTTGGACAGAATTCCAAACAACTGGGCGGTTGATCGAGGAATAAAGTAAACAAAGAACTTGGAGTTTGAACAGAAATATCCATCATCACGTCCTCTAGCTAACCCTCAGAATTTGAGTCTGTATGTGGTGTGAGATGGAAGACCGGCCGGGAACCGGTAAAGTCTACGGGGTATTGCATTTATATACATATTGCAACGGAAAAGCGCTACCGATAAACGAGCTCAACGCTTGCAATAAGATGTACAGGTTTTCCCTATATTTCAGGGAAAAGTCGCGAAAGTGATCACGATGTCGATCCTTGAAAGATTTTAGCCGCTCTCTTGATTCGCATAGACGCCCGCTCCAAGTCTCATTGGTGATCTAGTTACGGAGGATTGCCATACAAGAAACAGCTAATCATGATGATATTGTATGGATTGTGATAGCATTAGAGAAATATCTTTTTTCGTTTTGATACCCAATCGCCATTTTTACGCTAGTTAGTTAACTAACTAATTAACTGAGATATGCCTCCCCAGCCGAAGTTGGAGAGCTTCATCTCAGACGACTCCAGCTTCTACGGTAGGCTGTGCTACATAACAAAATGCGCACTCGAAACGAGGTGGCTAACCCATTTGATTTCATTCAATCTAGGCGATGAAGATGAGATATCCGAAATGGAAGACCGTGCTGCGGAATTTGATCCAATACGATACTGGCGCACATCACACTCCACGAACCTCGCTGTGATTGCATACTCCCAACGGTTGGCTGCGGAGAATAGGCCATCCACTGAATGCCTAGATGGAGCAACTATAATAGAAACAGAAGTGACACAGAGACATCCCCACGACGGCCGCGAATATTGTCGCCAAGCTACCGAATCCGTCGCCTCCTTTATTAATCGTCTTCCGCCAAGTACAACCAAAGCAGCAGACATAGGGCCGTGGATATTCATTGCAAATCGAGAGGCCCCCAGACCAGTGGTGCCCAATATAGACCGATTAATCGAAAACGGTGGAAGGCTACTAGAGGACTTTGAGGAGGACCTGGCGGAAATTCAAAATGAACCTAAAAGCAAATCAAGCGCGGGAAAGGCGGCTGTGACACGGAAGATTAACTCGAAGCGGCGGAAACTGGAAACTGACTTATTGCAAACCGCCCGTGACAATGGACTTGCGACGGGGAAGTGGATGTTGTTCCCTTCAGCAGAGAGCTTGGATGAAACTTGGGCAGCCGTGGCTGACGCAACGGCCAAAGGCACGTTGGGGATTGAAGCTAAAGTTGCCACCGACCCTGAAAATGGAGCATCCTCAAAGCCTCGATTGATCTGTGTTTACACCAGAGATTTTTGGGACAAGGAGGACGTTCGCAGAGTTCTGCTGAAGTTGGTAGACATGGGCGTGGTGAGCAAAGCAAAGGGAAGCTCGGCTCGTCCAATATACTATAAATGCGACGTGTATACGCATCTGAACATCATGTCTGGTAATAAATGGGGTTTAAAACCTACATTGTGTTCAAGCACAGAAGTGTTGGCGAACAAGTTGTGAGTGCGTCTTGGAGCGTTTGGAAAATATTGGATGAAGCAGTATTCACTATGCTGTCTATATATGGTACAATTTGGGGACTTTTTGTGATGCCTCATTACTCCTTCAAATGACACAAGGCCAAATGTCTAGAAACAAAAGTCCTGAACTGATAGGAGTGTCCTAAGCATCGGACAAGTGCTGCTAACACTGGTGTTTGACCAGCATAGTAACATCGAGTCGAATATCTGAACAGTCATCCTAACTAAAGGGTGCGGCCCTCCCATTGAATCTAGCCAATGTTCAAAATTCGTTTTGGCCCAAATTGCTCTAGGCCTTTGGCCTTCACCTCTCTTGCTCCAAAGGATCCGCGTTTATCAAGCGTTTCAGTGGCAGGCGTTTCTCGGCCCCTCATGGTTCAAAAAATCCCGCGCCCACTATAGCCTAACGGCGTAAGGATTCGCGGAGGACCATCTAGTTAAGCATAGCCCTGGGTCTGCGGTCGATATTCTTTCAACGCTCTGTACGCGAAGCTTTCGTTTCTATTCCTCTCCCTTCAAAATGGTTTCACATTCCCGCCTCAACTCGTCAACACCTTTTACGCCTTCCCACTTGGCTAGGAGCTTGTTGATCTCTTCCCAGTCTTTTTCCGCATTCTCAATATCACTCTTTTCTAGGAGGCGTCTTAGCCGCCTCGGCGTATCTAATACCCATTTCACGGTTTGTCTCTCTGCGCTGTTGTCATTGTTTGGCTGGCTGCTTTTATTCCCACTCGCTTTCTCCACCTGTTGCTGCTCCTTGATTAGAGCACTTGCAGTCTCAGCAACAAATCCAACCGCGGGCCCGAGAGTTTTGGTCATGACCATCGGAGCACCTTCTTCCTCTAAACTAGCCCTCATTTTACCAATCGTTTCCACCGCTTTTATCAGTTTCGAATAATTATCGTAGACCAACGCCTTGCGTTCCCCATCAAGCGTTCGGATGTCGCTAACAAGCGAATTTTCGGCTCGTAAGATTGTAGACAGAGAAGACGTAGATAGAAGATGCGAGACATATGAGGATGGGTCAAAGTTCGCGTTGTCGAGCTCGCTGTTGCTGATGGGTGTGGCCGGCGTGGTGGCTAGGCCATCTGGAGTGCGTGGGACGCTTCGCGCTCTGGGTTGAGCTGAAGCTAAGGGGTCGGCGCGGTTTGCTGAAAGGTTATAGTAGTCTCGTAAGGCTGCTCTATTGCGCCGTTGTGCGAGGGATGGAGAGGGCGCGCGATGAGTTGGAGTGGATGTGATGCTCACAGCTAAACTGTCAATTGACGGCCTTCGGGAGCCGGTGGGCGTGGGCGTGTGTGCAGAAGCAATAGACGGCCTGGGTGACGATATTGTCGACATGTCTTTGTGCGATATGCTTGTGTTGGAGGGAGATGCATGCAGTTCCCATGCTGCTGCGTGTTAACTCCAGCGGGTTAGATGATGATGCAACAAGCTCATGAAGGTTGTGGCTCGTGCTTCACTTGTTGATCGACTAACTAGCGTGTTTTCTACCTCTCGCGTCTCCCAGAGATTGAGTCTTCTATGAACATCGCACTTGACGCAGGGTGTGGAATTACCCAAGTCAGCATACAGCATTAACTAGCAGAGAAGGTCTGCTGGCTTGCATTGGTTGATTTCAGAGGAAAATGCCATGGCCTCCAATCCAAGCACGTCCATCTCAAACTACCTTCTAACTGCAAAATCTCTCCCAGTTTCACAGGCCTGGCTCTCCGAATTCCTCTCGTCACAGAGAGTAAACACCATTCCCCTACCGGCCCTCACTCAAACAGCACTATTTCGTCTGCTCACATCTGATTTTACCAGCTCACTATCACCATCCTCCGCCAACCTTCTACCAACTGATGTTTCAAACCCTAATGTGAAGGAGAGGCGGATAGCCGGGCCTGTTCCTGTACAGATACTCGACGTCGAAGATATTGGCAGCAGCGTATGGAGCCAGATCGAGGCCATTGAGCGAGTGGAAAGGGGCGAATCAATAAGAGGAAGGGAGATTATTCGCACTATCACGAGAGATGAAGGGGGCGATTCGACTGTTGGGGAGAATGCTACTCCGGGACATACAGACACCAATTCTGGTGCACCACAAGGGAACAACAGCACGACTGCGAGCTCAGGTCCACATAAACTAGTCCTTGAAGACGCGAACGGAACGAAAGTCGTCTCGATAGAATTGAAGCCGGTTGAGGGTGTTGGGATTGGTAAAATACCAATTGGCGCCAAACTACTTATCAAAAATGCCATCGTTGCGCGGGGGATGTTACTTCTTGAACCGAAAAGCGTTACAATACTAGGTGGCAAGATTGAAACTGTGGACCGAGCATGGAACACTGGCCGGAAGGAGAGAATGCTGGCGAGGCTTCAGGAACTGCAGTCACATCAGTCATGAAACCGCAGATACCACGTTATTTTATTGATATTTTAACTATGCAGCTAAACTTGTCCCTTAGGAAAGGTTGTTGCTTTAACTATGTTTCGACAAGACAATGACCTAATTCTGCCCAGCCCTCAGCCATCCAAGGAGCCACCATGATAGACTCTAGGGCATTTTGTCGTTGTCCAGTAAGAGCGTATGCCTTCGCGAGATCAGTTGCACCGAGCGAGCCGTGTGGTGGAATATTCCCAAGTGCAGTCCGAACTGCCATTTGAGCTGGGAACTCCTCTGACGATGCAACAGCAAGTGCTCGCCATCCTTGTGGCTCACTTGGCAAAAGTATGACCGAATTGCTAGCTTGTTGAATTCGTTTTTGCTCTTCTGAAATGTCGGGCCGCTTGTCGCTCACACTTGAAATTGCCGCCAAAATTTTGGATATCTTTGCCCGGTCGTGAATACCTATCTCCTTGTTGGTCCTCATGCTTCGCAGATCAGACTCCACTGCGTCTATGACATCCTCATCCATGTCCAGTAGTCCAATCATACCGAGAAGGGTGACAGCTCCAACATGATCGGGATGTTGTTCGACACAATCGAATAATTGCTCACGAGCCACGCTTCGTTCCTCCTCCCCTCCTTTGGCCCACAGAACCTGTGCCAAAAGACATATAACGTCTGGGGAACTGTCCGCTTCGTGCAAAGCCTCACGGAACATGTCAATTGATTTATCCATTTCTTTCAAGTAGTAATATGCGAGGCCCGCCGTCAAATGGGCAGAGAGCCGCATTTTTTTATATAGGTGGTTGTCGAACTCTGCTACTTCATCCACGGCGGATAAACTGAGGGTGGTTTCTGCACTATCTGCAGCAGCTTCATACTCTAGAAGGGCAAGCTGCGCGCGAGCGATATCTGCTTTGGCTTGCGAATATCGACACAAAGCGGATATCGATTCTGTTGCTTCGTATTCCGCTTCGGCGGCGGAGCAGACCCGATCGAGACTTGATTTCATGTCATTAGCGTCTCCGAGACGTTCTGCTAGAAGTCCGGAAAGATGGTCGTAAGGAGAATTGGACGGCTCTTGGGTGTGAAGTTGATGCAGCGCAAAAAGCGGCTGGATAAGATGAGACAGATCACTGGATCCTGAGCTAGAGCTAAGATGGTCAAATGCAGAAATCGCATACTGACGTTTGGGAAAAACTAAACTTGCATTTCCCAAGGTAAATGCGTGTGTGACCAGCTCTCGTGCTTCGGATAGATCCCCGATTAAAAATGCAAGAAGCGCCTGCCCTAACCAGGCGTGTGCAAAATCCGGGTCTGTGGATTGTGCTTTAGTAAACGCTTCGCTTGCTAGCTGAAAATCATTATGCAAGAGGTACAGCGCCCCTAGATTCGTCCATACCGAGGCGCTTCTATCATTGATATGCAGGCTTCGGACAAATGAGTGCTGTGCAACCTTGGGGCTTAACACCATGCAGGCAACACCGAGCGCGTTCCAAAACTCAGAATTACCGGCTTCAAGCTCAATTGCCCTCTTGAAACAACACATAGAGGCGGTAAGAAAACCGCTACGTTTCCCCTTTCCGGATTTGTTTTGCTGCACTCGGTGGCGTGTATGCGCACGATACTCGGCCCAGCCTAAATTGTACCAGGCTATGGCACGGGCATGAACGTCAGCATTAGAGACTGCTAACGCGATCTTGTACGCTAAAATGGCAGCGATCATTGGCAAATTCGATGTCGACGTTTCAAGGACCTTATAGTTTGAGCCTATATTGTCAAGGTCTCCCAGCACCTGTAAGGCTTCTGGATCACATTGTGCCTCCAGAAGCGACTTGAACTGCGAGATAGGCATAGATGACGCCTTATTTTCAATCCAAGAGAATATGGAGAATGCATCACCGATCGCTTTCCATAAATTCACCGAATTCGGACGACGCTTTGCGATTGATATGCCAATGTTGATAGCTGCCGTGGCAGTTTCGGCAGCATCACCAAAAACCCCGGATTCAACGGATTTCCAAGAACTTTCAGTATAAGTCTGCAATAAGGAAATTGAAACTCCAAATTCATCAGGCTTCATGCTGAGAACGTCCTTGTACCTAGAAATAGCCTCTGGGAAATCCCCAAGTTCTCGCATAACATTCGCCGTCATGTACCTCGCAAACCAAATGTGATCTTTGTCGGTCTCTGATAGAGCTTCCTCCAATGCTTGGGCGTGCTGGAATGATTTGATAGCCGAGATATATCGACCGGAATTGTGATAGCTTTCTCCCAGGCCAACCCAGCAGTGGTAATCACCTGGTGATATGCGAAGCGCCGTTTGGAAAGAAACAATGCTCTTAGTATATTGTTGTCGATTTACCTCAACCACACCAACGGCAGCATATGGCCAACTATGGCCTTTTCTTTTCGAACCGGGCGCAGGTTTGGCTTTTCCTGAATCTACGACTCGCTGAGCTATTGCTTCGACAAGGTCCCAATCCCCTTGGTTGGCAAAATCTCGAGCTAATCGCTCAGCTGCTTCAATTTCGGAAGACGAGAGCTCGATTGCCTTGTGAAAACAGCGTTTTGCTCTTTTTTGATCCTTCTTATAGTCTGCGTAGTATATTCCAAGGCTGGTATACGCTGGTGCATAGTTCATATTCGACTGGATTGAACCAAGGAAACTGGCATACGCGCCGTTTCGGTCTTTCCTTGCCGCCGGTGAAGTGTCCAGTTCCCATTGGCATTGTCCAAGGCGGTATAATATCACAGACTTTAGGTCACGATATTTAGGCTGTCCAGGTTGAATCATTGCAAGGGTATCCTCCAGACCAGCCATCGCTTCCTCAAGATTTCCGCAACGCGCCTTACACCAGAAGAGCTCGCATCGGATTCTGGCATTTTCAGTGTCACGTTGCAAGGCCTTTCCGAGCAACTCCACCGCTTGTTCATAGTCTTGATCTTCTTCAAAAATAAGTCCCAATCCCAGCAGGCACCTTGTTGATAACTGATTCCGTTTCAAGATATCCTCAAAAATTTCTCTGGCTTCAGGGTGATTTTTGGGGGATTGATACGTGATGAGAGCAGTTGCAAGGGTAGCATTCATAGAATCGATTGTATTGCGAAGTTTTAGACCAGTCCGTCGTTGAAGATCCGATGCAACCATCAAGCCCTTACGACTAACTTCAGTGGCGGACTGGACTTCTTCAAGCGCGAGATACACGTCCCCCATTATTCTATGGGATAGTAGAGAGCCGGGGGATTGCTCTAGACCTTCGGTCATCAGCAGCAAATGGTCATCCGCTGCGATCGGGTTTTCAGTTTCAGCAGAATCTCCAGCCGCGGCTGCGGATTCGTCGTGCTGATCCGCGGAGTCCACCTCTTCAGGGAAAGGGGATAAACCACTAGCCAAAAACCCTTTAAGAACTTTACTGAGCCCATCGTCTGGAAATAGGTGAATGAATTCCCTTAAAACGGTAACGTCCAATTCAGAAATTTCGCTGACGTCCTTCCATTCTAATACGATTTTCCATGCAAGTTCAAAAGGGTGGTGGATGATAACCATGTCCTCTGCAGACTTCAAAACATATTTCCGCTGTTCAGGTTTCTTCCCGGCTGGGAGGGCTAAAAGGTAGTCATATCCTCGCTGTAGGAGCTTTTCTTCATAAGTTCGCCGTGTGGCATCATCATATGTCCAGTCAACGATACCGCGATACAATTTATCAAGGTTACTGCGCTGAAAGGCCTCAAGGTTAACTTCTGCAGTGACTTGATCAATTTTGGCCCCCAGTCTAGTCCTTCTTTCGCCAATCTCACGGTTGATGAACTGCTTCTCTTCTGCTTCAGAGAGCTCAATCACCTGAAGGTATGTCTGAGACGGGTGGGGGATCAAGCCTTCCAAGACATTGAACAACGGACTATGAGGTAGTAGTAACTCCAGGGCCCTCTTATACTGGTTGGAGGTGCCATTCTTTTTGACGAAAGAAATATATTTGTCAACTGCTGCTTGCGCGCGACTCCTTTCATCTCTAAAATGCTCTTTTAGTCAAGAAACAAAACGACGACGTTGGAAGGATCACGGACGCTTCTCCAAAGATGTGACATAGCCTAATCACGGCAGATTCGTAATCATCCAGTTTCTTGTTTCCTCGGCCCTCATACAAGTTTATCAACCCCTGCCATGCCGTCTTATCATTCTCCTTAATTTTAGTAGCACCGATATAGGCACGCTCTGCTGCATCGGGGTCGTTCAGTTTATCAAGGCCGAGACCTAGAAATACATGGCTTGAATGCCGATATGCGTTAGTATCCCTAGCTGCTCTGCCCATCGGGGAGGATGTAACGCTCACGCGTGATAGTTTTGCGGATCTTGTTCACAGAGCTGTGTTGCTTTTGCCGCAGCTTGCGCAAAGTCACCAGCATCCAATGAAGCTCGGATATCTTTCAGAGCTGATTTGGGGGGCATTACTACGGGACCGATTCTGCAATTCGTTTTCAAGCATTTCTCGCTTACTCAGGGCTTCGTATGACTTTCAAGCTGTTAAGGCGCAACAGGCTAGTTTGTCTGGTGTGCTGCCTCTAGACCATGGTATTATATCGTAGAAGACAGAGCAGTAGTACCACTCGATTCTTTATTGTAGGTAGTTGTTGGCCTTGGGTGCGGTTATTAGCAGAGGGTGTAGTTATGTAGATTGCTTAATCAGCGACTGGACCAGCTCAATCAACAACCCTTGACCTTGTCGACTCAATGACGAGGCACTCCCATCTTCGCCCTTGAATTGGTATTGGCACCTTTCTTGTGTTAACCCAGCAGCTGAGGCAGATCTAACGAATACCGTCGGTTCAGGTTTATGAGGTGTACTAATTATACCCCCGTATAGTTAACTACGCCGCAACGATTACCCGCGGTTTCGGTTGACGCCTTTTCTCCCTGGTCACCTCGATCATCGTCGCATATAACGCGCAGCATGGCTTCAATGCGTCTTTGCATCGATGGGAGCACTTTTCGAGACCCTCAGCAGCGGGAAGTTGTCTTAAGAGGCATCAACATTGATGCGACGGCCAAATACCCGAAAACCCCAGATATACCTTCATACGTCCCGGACGGATTCTACGATGGAGATAATGTTTCATTTGTTGGACGGCCGTTTGCTATTGAAGATGCCCACACGCATTTCGAGAGGTTGAAAAAATGGGGCTATAATCAAATCAGGTACATCTTCACATGGGAGGCCATTGAACATGCTGGGCCTGCAAAGTATGATGAGGAATGGATAGCGTTCACAATAGAAATGCTACGGGTCCTGAAGCAATATGACTTTTATGTCTATATGGACCCTCACCAGGATGTGGTAGGGTAGCCCTGATCGTGGCGTCCATCCAACTACACCAAGTGCGTGTTTTGCTGAGTCTTGACAGTGGTCCCGATTCTCGGGTGGCTCCGGGGCCCCTATGTGGACGTTATATGCTGCAGGACTCGATCCTCGGTCGTTCAACGTTACCCAAGCAGCCCTCGTCCAAAACACGTATCCTGAACCTGCCTCCTTTCCAAAGATGATATGGAGCACGAACTATACTCGGCTTGTCTGTCAAACAATCTTTACCTTGTTTTGGGCAGGAAAAGATTTCGCCCCTAGAGCTATCATTAACGGCAAAAACATACAAGACTTCCTCCAGGATCATTTCATTGCTGCGGTCAGGCATTTGGCTAAGCGTATTAACGAAGCTGGTGGCCTTGAAGATGAAGTAGTAATCGGCTGGGAAAACATCAATGAACCAAATAGGGGCCTGGTAGGCTACCAGGATATATCAGTTATCCCCCCGGAGCAACAACTTCAACTTGGCACATCACCGACTGCCTTTCAAGCAATGCTGACTGGCTCAGGCCGTGCTTGTGAAATTACGACCTGGGCCTTTGGTAATTTTGGGCCCCGCCAAACTGGAAGAGAGTTGGTTGATCCAAAAGGTACTACTGCCTGGCTCCCGGCGGACTATGATGATAGTAAATATGGCTGGAAACGAGATCCCCAGTGGAAACTTGGAGAATGTCTTTGGGCGCAACATGGTGTTTGGGATCCCGCTACAGATACGTTGTTGAGAAAAGATTACTTTGCGAGAGACCCTAAAACTGACGAACAGTTGGATTACAATGGCTTCACCAACCAGTACTTTTTAGATCATTATCGAAAGTACAAAAATGCTATCAGAAGCGTTCATGCCAACGCCATAATGTTCTGCCAGCCGCCGGTAATGGAGATCCCTCCAACGATCAAGGGAACGGCTGATGATGATCCGAATATGGTGCATGCTGTTCACTTCTATGATGGTCTCACTCTTATGACAAAACACTGGTGAGTATGCTACTAAGAACCTCCTTGATCTTGGCTCATACAACTAGGAACCGGTTTTACAATGTTGACGTGATCGGCGTCCTCCGTGGAAAATATCTTACGCCTGCATTCGCTATTAAGATCGGAGAGACGGCCATTCGAAATTGCCTTCGAGATCAGCTTCATTTCCTTCGACAAGAAAGTTTAGAACACATGGGGAACCATCCTGCAATTCTTACGGAGATCGGTATTCCATATGACATGGACGATAAATATGCTTATAAGACCGGCGACTATAAAAGCCAGATCAGCGCCATGGATGCCAATCATTATGCTATTGAAGGTAGTGGCATGAACGGCTTTTCACTCTGGACTTACATGGCAACGGTGTGGAGCTTTCTGTTTCTGACACTGTTTTCTACAACCTTGCTAATTCGCAATATGCAGAATATTCACGAATGGGGCGATCATTGGAATGGCGAAGATTTATCGATCTATTCCCTCGATGACCTTGAGTTACCTACGGCGAAAGCACTGGGCCAAGATCCGCAAAACCAGTCCAGTATATCTCTTGACCGTACATCACCTGCGTTCTCCCAGAGTCGAACTGATTCACTAAGCACACGCATAGAGCCAAATAACTTAAAACAAGCGCTCTCCACTCCGTCTATATCAGTTAGTCCAACGTCAAACCCTGAACTCTGCAGTCACATGGGGTATCGCGCAGCCGAGGCGTATATCCGACCGAGTCCTGTCTCGATACATGGAAGTCTAGAGGCATACGGATTTGATTTGCAGAATTGTACATTTACGATGTCGTTGACGTCGGCGACCTCCACTCCAGAAAATGCACCTACCATCGTGTATCTCCCGGAGTTCCATTATCCTAGCATGCATACCGATGTTACCGTGAGCGGTGGGAAATGGGTTATCGATGTTGAGAAAATGGGATCTGGGATCGTCCAGCACTTGAAGTGGTGGCATGCAGAAGGGGATCAAACCATTGAGATTCGTGGTGCAAAACGAAAAGCAGGTGTGGTCGAGGACACCGCTGATGACGAAGGGTACCTGGAGCAATGCCGTCGCGAAGCCTGCGCCGTAATGTAGAAGGTTACGATTTATGACGAGTATCGCGCATTCTTTATGACTTAAGCCTGCCCATTTCTGGGGGGCTGACCTAGATGGGCTTGATATCAATTTCTGGGTTTACTGCGTTACTAAATTAGCAAGCGTACATTTGGGATTTCCCTTGTTCATAGTTAACTAGTTAGCCACCTGTGTTTGAATTAATGAATTAATCGCCGACCAAGGTCGCAGCTTCGCTTTACCACACAACCATCCATTGGGGCCTCGATGGAGGGTTGCTGTCTTTGATTCATCATGACTGCACAGGGATGAATGTGAAGGGAGCCTAGATGGTGTTCATTGTGCGGGTCACAAGGCATGTCGCCGCATTAAAGAGCGTTTGTGCCTATCTCATGTCTGTAGCTGTCAAAGAGTTGCTGGGTCAATGATACAAGTGATCAGTCCCGTCTCTTCCTTTTCACTAGCAAGGCATTATTGCCTGTGTTCCTCGAGGAACTAAGCTTCGTGTGTGAAGTTTGTTTGCTGGGCGCATTCAAAGAAAACTTGCATTGATGTCGAATTTATTCGCAGAACTCCCACTTCAAATCCACAACTACTATCCCCGACCACCAACACAGTCTGTTAGCATCGATACGGAAAACCAGTGTTCAGATCTTTTCAAGGTTGTATGAAATAGGCTGTTTGTCAATCGGTGGACTACCATCGTTCGGGGTCCGGCGTGCTGGAACAGTGGCTAGTCGACCTCAAAATTTGGCTTGGGCTTTGGTCGCTAGTCTTCTCGGAAAACAAATCCGGATAAATCGCATCCGATCAAATTATCCCTTGGAGGCAGCATGGCGACATTGATACCCAATACCTTGGAACTTCCGGCGGGAGTAAATAGCAACGGGACAGGCCAGCCAGATCTAGGCAACATCATCCAGGCGTTGGAAATTATACACACCCGAGCTACAACGAATGAGGTCAGAAAACAGGCCTCGGAGTTCCTAGAGCTGCAGAAACACGAGAAGAACGCGGTACAGAATGGATTTTACTTGGCGGCGGAGCGGAACCATTCTCCTGTTGTTCGCCATTTCGGCCTCTCGCTGCTGGAACACGTTTTAAAACACAGATTGTCCGAGTTGACGCCTGCGCAGGTCGGCCACCTCAGAGGACTGATTCTGGGTCTCGCACAGGAGATTCAAGCTCAAGATATGGCATATATCCGCAACAAGCTTGTCCTATTGTGGGTGGAGATTGCGAAACGGACCTGGGCGCTCGATTGGCTAGGGATGGATGAATCGTTGGTGCAGCTGTGGAGTGGAACCCTAATACATAAGGAATTCGTCCTTGGGGTCCTGGAAACATTATCAGATGATGTTTTCCACCACGAAGATACAGCTTCATCATTGCGCGGAACAGATCTAAATCGTGCCCTGTTGGAGATCTGTACGCCGCATGCCGTTTTCTGTGAAGTTTATCCTGAAAGAGCGCAGCATACTGAGCTTCGTTTTGGTGCGGAAGGGTGGCTTTACAGGATCACTATGTTTTTGAATGACTGTGTGCGCAATCTAAATTCATCCCCAGAAGTTCGGATTTGTGCCCAGAAAGCGCTGGCAACCCTGCGAACAATGATGACATGGAACATCCCCTTGGCCATTGCTTCCAGTCAGTGTGTTCAAGCAATGTGTATGGCGCTGACGGCAAACGATGAGAGCGTTTTAATGGTAAGTGCTATATTGCTTTAGTGACCTACACTAGTTCCTCATTCAGCAGATACTAACAGAATATCTAGGCAGCGATTGAGGCGTTGCATGCGTTGTATGGCCGAAGCCATTATGATATCCAAGAGTTTGGAAGCTTGTTGCGTATAATATACAACAAAGAGAATCTGGAGTTGTTAACAAAGCTCTTTGAATGGTCATTTGTTGATGCGAATGATATTTTAGACACAAAATATACAACATCCAAGAAGCTTTCAGAGGTGAGATTATCACTCTCCCGATCCCCTCTTTTTCATCAAGCTAACAGCTTATGTAGCTGCTTTCATACCTAGCTGGATTCCTTGAAGAGAAGAATCTTGGCCTGATTAAAATGATTGATCAATCATATTTTCTTACTTTATTAATCCGCGTCTTAAGACACCCAAGTTTGATCGTATCTATTCCTGTGCTTCACTCCTGGTCCAGGCTACTCGTATGCGATGAGGTTGCAAACTTGGAAATAATTACGAACTTCATTGGCCAATTGCTGGAAATATGTACACAACGTCTCGTGAGATATGAAGCATATCCAGAAGACTCAGATGACCCAACTGTTCTCTTCTTGAATGAGGATATTGACACCCTACCCGATAGACACGCTTTTGTGGGGAACTACCGAAGATACTGCGGACAGGTTATAGACGTTATTGTACAAAAACGGCCCCAAGATGCGATTCCTCATATCCTTTCGGTAGTTGATATTGGCTTGAACAATTTATATCACGGGACTTCTCCGTTTAATCGTGCGTTTGCTCTTCTCTCCAGCGGCGAAACTGGCTTCTAACCTGTCTGTAGCCGCAACATTTCATAAGCATACGGCTCCGGCTCTACGGGCAGACACAAGGTTTACAGTCACGGAGTATCTTCTGAAGGGGTATAATAAGTGGGTTGAGAGCCATGGTGCTGACCCACAGCGTGATGTAGGTGCAACATTGTACTGACTGAAACCATTTGAGCTAGACTGACACATTACTTACAGGAACAGCAACGGTTGACCCTCGAAAACATGCTCGAATCATGGGCTCTTAGTTTGTTGCAGCGGCAGTTTTCTGTATGCCTTTGATGACTTCCCTTTGGCTTTTTTACTAATGATAGATAGGATCCTGTTATTAAACAACGAGTAATACGGCTGTCTGTTGATTTCTCTGCCCACGCACTTCGAAACAAACCAAGCTATGCGCTCAAAGTTCTCGAACATATCCTCCTGACTAATATACCGGATAATCCTGCATTTCCCCTTTATTCCGAGTCTGTGAGAGAATTATATAGCCTTTCAACGTATGAGGTTCGGAGGCTCGCCATACGTTATGCGGATTACTTCTCTGTATGGTCCTTCTTCCCGCAGTGACAACCTAATAAACTGACAATGTAGACGTTTTATAACATCCTCGAGCAAAAGGTCCAGGAAATGCAGCAAAGGTCTGTCGAAGATCAACCGCAGATGGAGTTATCATCTGTTCTCCTGATCGTCATGTAAGTATCAATGTATGCTTTGGTATAAGGAAGCTATTCTCACTAACTTTTACAGGCACCGAGCAAAAGATGTCGACCCAAGTTTACGCCAAGCTCGCCTTCAGTCATTTATTGAGCCGTTAAAACTTGCGTGGGCAGATGAACAGTTTCGGCGAGCGATCAGCACTTTCCAGGGTTTTTGCGAGATCTTCGGTATAGATCAGGTTCATCCGTACCTGCAAGCTCGACAGGCGCAAAAGCTTGAAGACTGGTCTGCGTGTGCTCTCGATGAAGAAGGAAAGCGACTTCAGAGTCAACTGAACTCGAAATTTCAGGTCAGTAGGCGTTTAGATCTAGCCAGAGCTTAAACTTACCATGAACCGCAGCGTGTGCCCCTAAGAAATACCAAAACCTTGCTGGCGGTCTCCACAGAGAAGCTAAAGCCGAGTGATCCTCCATTTCAGATTACATGCGAACTTTGGAAAGATATGATACCCCTTATTCTTCCGTCATTGTTGCAATTGGTTGGGTAAGTACCCAGCGTTCCAACATGCTATTTCGTTAACTGACTTTACAGCCATGCCCATGCTTTTCACAACCCAGATAATTGGGTCGGACTGCCGCAGGATATGCGTCCAGTCGTTGGACGTATCTTGACGGACAGATTCTGGCAAGCTGGTATTTCAGCAGGTAGTAGAGAAGATTTTTATGCAAAGATTGCTACATCTAAAAGTACCCTTGAAGGATTCTCTTCTTCCGTTAGAGGGAAGATTAGAGCAGTCCGGGAAGCGTGTTACTCCATACTTTTTAGTATGAGTAGATTAGGGGACCACTTCTACGGATTTCATGAACTTTCGGCTCCCTTGTCCCAGGCGCTATACAGTAATGCCCCGTCGCTTTCTTCGCACCAGTTTTCGGTACTGTTGAATATATCCCGGTGCCTTATAGATGATTGTCCGCCACAGTCACGGGCGCATTTCTTACCTCCAATGATGTCGGGGTTATTCGTTCAACTCGATAAGAAAATTACAACGGAGTGGGATATAATCGAACGCCGGAAAGCTGGGATGGGAGATGTCGACTTGACGGAAGAAATGAAAGAAGAAAGTATACTCAGACAACTCACTTACTCCGCGGTGCTAATGGTGGCCGGCTTGCTGGACCCAAATAGAGAAGGTTTGCTGTCCCTAATTGTCTGATCATACACCACTTTGGCCTTACTAACTTCTGCATCACAAAGCCGCTGGGAACTCGGTGTCCAAAACCGCTCCAACACCGTCGGAAGAGGTTCGACAAGAGAATTTAATGCGAACGTTCATCCTGTCATCGCCTGAAATCCTGGAACCCGTTATCGTATTCTGTACCCACGCCTTACGCATCCACGATACGCGCAGCTGCAGCGTAATCACAAGGGTCTTGCGCTCTATACTAACCTCATTCCTACCCGCCGTCGACACTCCAACCGCAGCTAGCATCCGTGAATTCATCAGCAACCACGTATTGAAAGCATGTATCACCTCCGTGCATGAGCCATACTTCGTGGACATGCAAAAAGACCTCGCCCAACTCATCGCTTCTATATGGATTCTCTATGGTGCGCGCAGCTCCACGCCAAGGTCGGTTATGTTGAGTTTACCTGGCATGGTGGAATCGAAAGTTGTTGCGGCAGAAGAAGTCTTGACGAAAGCAGCGTCGACTAGGGTCCAAAAGGCGGTGATTCTGGACTTCTTGGAAGGATTGAGAGGTGTAAGTATAAGTGAGCAAGGGAAGATTGGCGGAGCTCGAGCAAATCGACGCAAGGAACGCAGTGCCATAGAGGCAAGGTACCTGACCACGGAGATGGAGGGCCAGGAAGGTGGAAAGGTAGATATAAATAATGGGCCAGATTTAACCGGAATTGCTGATATGTTTGGTTGATATGCCTCGGACGGTTAATTGATTTTCTTTTGAACCCAATTGAGAGCCTTGCTTTTTCATTCGCATCTTCGCTGACAGCATTATATGAGTAGCGCGGAGGAAGTTTATGGAATCCATTTGAGTATCGTTTGATTAGATAGGATTTTTGGGTGATTGATGATGAACTAGACTTTGTTGCAACGTTGGTTGAATGAATATACAATTTTACCCTGCTTTAGCTTGGTAGGAGGGATTTTGATGCTGATATACACTTAAAGGCAGCGCCCTGTCCAACGCTTATAAAACATACGAATATGGTAGACCCGTCCACAGGAATTCTATGCTCTCCTCATATTCAATCAGAAGCTACTGCATTGGAAAAGCGTTCTGAGGCTTGTCCTAGCAGACGTATAGCCTCGATTCTCACCAACAACACCAACTGCGGGAAGAAAGAACATTATATGGCGAAAACTATTCAATCGATATTGGTTTATTGGGCGGTAGCAGGAGTATATGTGAAAGTCGGTCTCACGAATCTAAAGAAATAACCAATTGTTAGATATACGGTGCAAAATGGACTAAAAAAGGAATATTCACTCACCGGTCAGAATTGTAGACCTTCATCTCTGATCCCATCAATTCCTTTTCTCTGGCCTTATCCGCCCAGTGGCGCCTAACTTGGTCGCGGTCCTCTTCGGCTTGGAGGACTGGGATTAAATGGATTCGAGCCCACGTTTTTTCACGGGCAAGTTCGCTAATCCTCAATTAGCAAGATATGGCCCGCACAGGATGTCCCAAGAAATATATAACTCCAGCGGATTGGAATCGAGGGACTTGACTCAAGCGGGCGGTAAGGAAAGGTAGGGCAATCGCTCACTTCTTTTCCCGTTGGCCAAGCCATAACTTGTAGAATCCATATGCCATAATGGTGTGCATTCCGAGGAGGTAATAAACGGGTCTAAAGCCGCGAACGGGAAGATTGCGCTGTTAGGATCGGTCAGTTAAAGTGCGACAGCGTTCGGATGCAGTTTAACCAATGGAGATCGGACAAGGACGGCGGTACCTTATATTGGACAGGCTTGTAGCCCCCAACTGGGGGCATGTCCTGAGGCATTGTGACGGTGTTCAGGAGAAAGATGACGGCTCAAGCATGAAGCAACAAGTCTTCTTTGACAGTCACGAATGATGGAATGCCGGCGATCGGATGAGGGTTCACGTGACTTGATTGCACGAATGATTACGGTAACCATTACGGAAACATCATGGTACGCACCAATGAGAGTAAGCGGTTTTGAAATCCTGATACACTTATCTCCCTCTGGGTGGTGTAAGATCGTTGAGTGGTCAATTACGTGATGCTTGCTATCTTTGCACGTCAATTGGTTAAGATTTTTATATCTCGGTGTTGAAGACTGTCTGATTGCTTGTGCTTTTCAAACGAATCTAATCGTTGGATGAAGCGTGGATTATGGCGGAGGAGGAGAGACCGCACAAACTACAGAAGTTGAACCACATGAGCAGCGGGGCTGAAAATGACGCGCAAGCCGCAGTCGCCTTCTCAACGCCTTTGACGGACGAAACGACGCCGGAAGACAGTCCCGTGGTTGAAGAACAATCCCCGGAGCCAAACGACGATAAGGGAGCGGCGGCTGAAGTGCTTGAAGATGGACTCGCCGAGACTACTGCCAGCCAAGTTTTATCCAAGAACCAGCTAAAGAAGCTCAAGCAAAAAGAACGGTGGGAAGCCGGTCGAGAATGGCGCAAGGAAAGGCGGAAAGAGAAAATGAAAGCGAAAAAGGAGCGCGTACGAGCTGCAAAAGCGCAATCGGTACAGGGGGCTCCGGCGGCTTCTGAAGAGCATGAACAGCAGGACCGCGTGCCATCCGGTAGAATTACACTTCGCGAGCTGCGGAAAAAGGACGATGGCCGCTCTGTTGTGCTTCCGATCACGCTCTTGCTGGATTGCGATTTCGATGACCTTATGTTGGATAAAGAACGCAAGTCTTTGGCATCCCAGATTACCCGTTCATACTCGGATAATTCTCGGTCCAAATATAGAGCGCACCTGGTGGTGTCGTCGTTCAATAAGCTGCTAAAAGAACGATTTGATACTGTGCTGGCGAAACAATACGAGCGTTGGAAAGGCGTCACCACCACGGAGGATGATTTTGTTCAGGCGGCGGAGGCGGCGCAAGCTCGAATGAAGCACCCGAAAGGTGGAAGACTGGCAGGCATGTTTTCTACTAAAGCCGACGTTGATAAGTCTACGTTAGAGGAAGAAGGAGAGATTGTTTACCTATCGAGTGACAGCCCGGACACCTTGACCGAGTTGAAACCCTACAGCACCTACATTATCGGAGGCTTGGTGGATAAGAATCGGCACAAGGGAATCTGCTACAAGAGGGCCACAGAAAGAGGGATTAAAACAGCCAAATTGCCCATTGGGGACTTTATGCAGATGTCTAGCCGTTTTGTTTTGGCGACGAATCATGTCGTCGAAATCATGCTTCGGTGGCTTGAATTGGGCGATTGGGGTCAGGCGTTTGATCGCGCCATACCGAAGAGGAAGGGCGGCACGCTGAAGGCCGATGTTGACGACGAAGATAAAAAGGATACGAGCAATGATAGCCAGGGAGAGGAGCAAGATCGTAGCGAGAGTGGTGGAGCGTCTCTACCTGCCGGTGAGAACGTAGTCAGCGCCGAGACGGCTGGCTAGCTGATCAGCTGTTACCATTAGCGTGTAGATATATGATTTTGAAGGCTTCCTCTCCCATTGTCATGCAGACTCAAAAAAGCCAGCTGCTGCTTTTGAGGATATCAAAGTGCGTGGCAAGATATAGTCATGGCCGTGTGTATAATGGCGCTTTGTCGATGCTATGCCAGATCTGGTTTAGCCTGGTAAACCTGGCTGGTTTCCTTGCAACACCATTGGCTAATTCCACTTCCAAGCCCGTGTTTGCCACGGTAACACCTTTTAGCAGCAATGTTGCCTGTTTTCTGCCGTCATCCAAACATGTGGTAAACAGTGAACACTGAAGCAAAAATCGCCAGTCTGTGGACGCTTCACCTCCACCTTTGAACAAGAAAAGGACATTCTTGCTTTAATTTTCCTCCTTTGGGATGCTCCTGGCCCCTAAATCTAGATAACTCAGTTGAAGGCGCATCATATTGGCGAATCCACAGTCATGTTTATGCTCAGAAACGGTACGTCCTCTCAGAAGGAAGCTTTAAGCCCCTCCCCCGCCATGGTTATCGACTTCGTACGCTGCTTTTCTCCCTTTAAACCCTCATTTTACGACTAGAAACTAATATTCATTTCGTTTCGCCTAGTGAGCAAGTTCCTTTTTGGCGACACTGCCAAAGAATCCATTATCGAAATTCCCCAGGGCCAGCTTTATATCGTGAGACCACTGTCGCCCAAAGGATATTCGGAACTCATTTTCAAAGACGCAGCTGCCAGCATAAGGCGGACAGGCCAAGAATTCCAATACCAGCTAGTGATACAGCGTGCATTTGAAGAGGGCGAAGAGGAGCTTGCGGACGAAGAGAGCGAAGGAGCTGATGCAGAAGGCCTTGGTGGCGACAAGGACGAAAAAACCTTTCTGTTAGATCAAAGTCTTCATTTTCGGTCTGAAGTACGTGACGGAGGAGAAAAAGTGCTAGCTTGGCGGGATCTGAGTGGTGACCCGGGTGATCTTTACGAATTCGTTTGCGACCCGACGACATCCTTGGATAAAGTCGCAACGTTTGTTCTTGCCGCAGTCCAGAGCCAATACGAGCGAAAATACCGGCAAAGTGCACAGAAGGCTACTGAAGCGCAACTCCAAGAGTTCTCATTTGAGGAAGAAAGCCCCATACCCAACGCGAGCCCTGTTACGAGCCCAGTGACTCCAACATCGAAAGAATCAGCAGCAGCCATGGCCAAAGAGGTTGTGACAAACAAGGAGAAAGCTCCCGCACAAGGCCAAACCCAAGCGCCCCCCGCTGCGGTGCACCCCAATGCGATTGAGATTCTTGCTGAAGAAACCGCGGAGCTGCATCTTTTTGATTTCAACTCTGGCACATTCATATTACAGGATCACCGAGTCACAGCGACGATTTCAGAAATTGGAACCTGGCAGTATTGGCTACAAATAAGCGGAGCCGAACGGGAATGGCTAGGACAGCCTATTATAGCAGATCTCAACCCAGTGTTCAACTTCGAATACCTTTCGTTCATATTTAACCATTATACAGAGGATGGATCGGCATATTCCTGGCTGTTACGATTCAAGGATCAAACTACTGAAGAGCGATTTCAAGAAGGCTTGATGCAGGCCCTATGGGAGCATTTACATGAATTGAAATGGTCCAAAACTAAGGTCGATGAGCGTGACTACGTTTTGGAGGCGTTCAATGAACTCACCATGGAGGATGTTCCAGAGGAACCTGAAGAGGAAGAAGAAGAAGAAGAGGAAGAAGAAGTGGAAGAAGCTGACGATGGCCAACGCAGCGAGCATTACGATTCAGATGAGGACGCTGATGATGTCGTGACTAAAGAAGACGATGGGAACGTCAACTCGCAGCTTGCCGTTGGATACAAACACGATAGGTCCTTTGTCGTGCGCGGCTCAAAGATTGGAGTCTTCAAACATACGCCTAATAACAATTTGGAATTCTCTACCAACATATCAAAGGTTGAAACTTCAAAGGGCAAACTTTTCAGCCCTAAGAAGGTCATGCTCCACGCTGAAGATTCGAATATGATCCTCCAGAATGAACAGGAGCCGAACACATTGTACCGAATGGATCTTGAATACGGGAAGGTCGTGGATGAATGGAAAGTCCATGACGATATTCCTGTCACAAATTTTGCTCCAGAAAACGTATGCACCCATGGTTTCGCTTATATACTTAACCCAGTTTACTAATTGATCTTTCTCAGAAATTCTCCCAAATGACGTCTCATCAACCATTTTTGGGTATTTCACGCAATGCACTCTACCGGATTGATCCTCGATTGGCAGGCAACAAGCTTGTTGATGCCGATTTGAAACAATATGCCAGCAAGAATGACTTCTCTGTGGCTGCAACAACAGAAAAGGGATACATTGCTGTTGCATCAAATAAAGGAGATGTTCGCTTGTTTGATCGTCTAGGAATAAACGCGAAGACACACCTTCCAGCGTTAGGCGAACCTATCATTGGCCTAGACGTGTCCGCGGACGGGCGTTGGGTTTTAGCTACATGTCGGACCTACCTCCTCCTTATCGATGCTCTTCAGAAGGAGGGCAAAAACGAAGGCAAGCTCGGCTTCGAAAGAGCCTTTGGAAAGGATTCCAAACCTCAACCACGCCGTCTTGGGCTCCAGCCTGCTCACGTCGCTCAATTCCAACACGAGACTGGTGCTCCGCTATCTTTCACCCCTGCCCGCTTCAACACTGGTCTTGACTCGAATGAAACATCTATAATCACAGCCACCGGGCCATTTATCATCACCTGGAATATGAAGAAAGTTTTATTGGGCAGAAAGGACCCTTATATAATCAAACGATACGCTGAAGAGGTCAAGGCCGATAACTTCAAGTTTGGAAGCGATAAGAATGTTATCGTCGCCCTTCCTAATGAGGTCAATATGGTCGCGAAACAGAGCTTCCGGAAACCGACTAGAGAGAGCATTGCAGCCCCGCCTGTTACGCCTTCAAGGTTCGGAAGAAGAACGAGTGCACGGCTGGGGAGAAATGAGATCGTGAACAGTCCATATTAATTATCCTACATGGTAATGGAGTTTTTGAAATTGGAATGCGCATGGACTACACGTGAGACGAATGCTTTCAATGTGTTATGTTGATATCAGTATTTTCTTTACTTTGGAATTGAATCCTCCCCACGCAATAGCGTGCTACTCTTGCTTCCTTCACTTTGTATATACCCCGATTCTTTTGCCCTCCTCTTGGATTTCTAACTTTATCCTTTCTTGACTCCATTATGTAGGCTTCATGGTGACAAAAAGGTGAGGTAAAGCCATAGGTTCGTCAGTTGCTTGATAGTTAATGTGGCTTTAGAATAATAAGTTGCTTAGCCTTGTATATGCGTGTGCCCTTCTGTTCAACAGCCATACTGTCCCTATGTTTAAGCACCTAAACCTTGCTTCCCAATATTAAGGAGGATTTTCAGCTTTCAATGTCCGCCAAAATGGAAGTGCCAGCTGTCAGCCAGCAGCAAAATCAATTATATAAAGAGCTGAACGGTATACGTGCCCATTAATTTCCTATATACCATAACTCCACATTCATGACATCAAATTTCGTTCCTTCATCGCATAAAGGCTCATTTCCAAAAGTCAAACAAGGACTGCTAATGCCTTTTTCAAACGAATCATCCAGCCAGAGGCCATAGTGACCGTCACTTTTCGTAGAGATGGCTAGTTAGCAATGTGTACTTGCCCCGAGAAATTGAGAAAACAAAAAAAAGAGAAAAAGAAAAATCCTTACCCTCCGCCAACGCTCAAAAATCCAGTTTCGCAAAATATCATGTAATCGTTCACGCCGCTGTACGGGAATGCCTTGAAACGTATTCGATCGGGGGTGCTGGTCCCGCTCCTCGAGTCGCCTAGAAAGCCATTTCTGCTGTTAGCAACAGGGCCTTCTGCATCGGAATCTCGACCAGCGGCTGCTGATTCCCCAAGCTCGGGATTCTGCTCAGGAAGGGGAAGCTGAAGCGGATCGGCACCACCCTCTTGTTGACCTTCGCGGACATGACTTGAAGAGTCCCCTTGAAGCCTTTCCTCACCTTTAAATGTTGTACTCCTACCCCGTAGATTCGTCGTATCTGTACTTGGCGGCGGAGGGAGGCCCGCCAGCTCCAACCTCGCCTGCCCGTCAGGCCTCTCCAGCTGAGCGCCTCGCCCACCCAGCAACAACGGCGTGGACGCAAGCGTGCTCGCCCTCCACAAGAAGCATTCCCCAGTGCCATAATAATGCGAGGTCGGCCGCGGAGGATCCGTCAAATACGCTCCAAATAACGAGCCATTCCCGCCCCCTATTCCTCCTCCTCCTCCTCCTCCTCCGCCGCCGCCTCCGCCCGCGCCTCCACCATCCCCGGCGGAAGAAACATTCTTCACAACAAGCACATACCCCGCCCTCTGACTTCTCGCCGCACACTCCGCACCCTTTTCAAACAACGTCGACAGACTCGACCCGTCCCGATCCAAGCTATACGCCAGCACCCACGTATCCACCAACTGCAACCGCGGCGGCACAAGCAGGCGTATCTCCTCCGCCAGCGCGCGCGTTAGGAGCTGGCTCGACGGTGGCGGCGAGGCTCTCAGCGTCAGCGGCGTGAGTGGCGGTGGCTGGAAGGGCGAGGCCGTGCGGCGCGGGGAGAATATGATGTCCGAGGCATTCATGGGCTCTGTCGCGACGCGGGCGGGGATTTTGGGGGAGGAGGGTTCGGGGGGAGGTTCGGTTAGACGGCGGTAGAGGCCGGAGACGACATGTGTGACTGGGAAGGTGAAGTAGGATGATGCGGAGGGAGATGGGCGTGGTGGACTGTGCGGTTGTTGGTGTTGTTGGCGTTGCGGTGGTGGTGATTGTGAGGGTGGGGCGGAAGGCTGGAGATCAGGGGATGGGGTATGGGGGACGGCGGTGTGGTCTGTCTCTGGCGATGACATGGAGATCAATTGACGGTCTTTGGGAATTAGTAGTGACAGTCATTGACTGGACGAGTTGATGAGAATTGATGTTGTTGTCTGCTGTCCTGGCCGGGAGCTCAGATGGACTTGATCTTGAACATGCGTCAAGGCAAGCTTTGAAACGCTATATCAAATCGCCGATGATTGGCACACCGGAAGCTTACAGGCCACTGGAATATGATCTAGACCTCGGGAATTGACTGTTCCCCTGTCTTCATCAGGTGATCGTATCTGATTCACAAACCGTCGCGTTGCCAACGAAAACATGAAAGATGCGCTGAAATGCCTCTAAGTTCCTCCGATGCTAATAGCAAAGCCCTGCCGGTCTAATTAAATAAGATCAAGTATATCCGTATTGCTTTGCTTTTGCGCAACGGGCATACCCGTCGTTGCAGGAGAGGTTGACGAGCCGGATATATCCAACCCAGCAAACCCATTCATCAAGTCCGCGCCTCCAGAACTGGCCGTACCTCCACCGAACCCACCGTCATTTGTTGCTGGCCCACTGCCAAACACGCCCATCAAATCTTCTATGTTCGAGTTAGGTTGTTGGGGCGCACCTCCGGTGGGAGATTCCACCCTCATTGGTGTTCCCGCTAGTCCTTCAAGCCCAGACATTCCCGATGGAGGCTCCTTTTGCGTCGAAGCGGGTGCCGTACCATCAAAATCGATGTCAAGGAGATTCTCAACATTGTTTTGGATGGGAGCCGCAGTAGATCCGGTGACTGCTGCGGCTGCAGCTGCCGCCAGCGGATTCTCGCGGGCATTTTGTAGTTGTTCCCTGTTGAGAAATTAGCGTTTTTGTGTGTCGAGGGAGACTTGTCAACATACTCAATAGCGGCTTTCTGTACAGCATCGGCGCCAAATTTACCCTGTCCAACAAACTGTTCTGGTGGCTTATGGTAGACAGAGGCTAAAGTCGACAGTTCGTGAAGCAATTGTTCAAGAAGATTTGGTGGAAGGGACTGAATTGTAGTGACAATAGGAGGTTTTTCGGATAACACAACATTCTTCGCCGCATTCGAATCTGTGGTGTTGGATAGTAGTCGCCAATAAGCATATGCCCGGTCACGGATGTCAGGGTTGTCATTCTCCGCCGTCGCTGCCTGTAATACTTTTTGCACCAGTCCCTGTGCTTTTTCCGGGCGTTTCAAGAACAATTTCACAACGGCTGTCAATATTTGTAATTGAGTCTGTGAACAAAGTTAGATGCCGTGTTGTGGAATCAAGCAGAGACGGGAAACATACCTGGGTGAACTCTTCATTGAATCCTTCTACAAAACCAGCCAAAATGTCACCCGCATTGCTAATCTTTTCAGCATACTCTCCCACGATCCAGATCAATGATCCTCTGGCATTCGGTTCATCTAGTTCATCAATACATTGACAAAGAGTAGGTATGATGCCTTCGTAGCCTGGATACTTTCGGAATATATCTTTGATGACCACGATGGCTTCCTGGACGACATAATTCACCTTGGTGTTGATAAGATCGAGTAGCGTCGTGACACATTTTTCGGTAGCGGTTTCAATTTTGATAGCCGTTTGTCCAATTGCTTTTACTGCTCGGCGTACAAAATCCATATCTACTTCCAGAGCATACTCTTTCAGTTCTGCGAGGAGTTGATCAACGTTCCGTTCATTGGCGATTCGGACCATAATTTCCAATTTTTGAAATTTGACATATGGGGGGTCATTGTATTTGCAGAAGAAAACTCGGAGCTCCTTGTCTAAGATATTCGGTTGGGCTTGGAGAAGAAGGTCGATGTTCCTCAAAGCAACGTATTGGACTTCGGGAGCAGCAGACACTAGGGTTACTTGAAAATAATCAGCACCGATTGGATCTACCATCGATATTATAGAGGAACTCACCTAATGGCGGTGCCATCTTTTTAAGGTACGATTTAGCGGTTTCTGGGTTGATATTCTTCATGTGCAGAAACACGACTTTCACCGCAGCAAGAACCACACCGGCATTGATATGTTGAAATTGAGGAACAACACGTTCGCAGATACTTTCTGACTCCTTTAGGTCAGAGCTTCTGTAATTCGATAAGCTTGTGAGGACCGAAACCCGACCCCATTCCGTACATTCGTTTAGCGCCATCAGCATCTTTCGAAGGGTATTTGGTGTTATTTGAAGCGCTTTGGTTTCCGGAGCCGTCTCATTAATTTCCGCCAGCGCGGTAACTGAATTTGCCACGACCATCGGATTCGGATCCCCTATCATTTCCTGTAAGGATTCTAGAAAACCGTTTTCTAAGCATAGTGTGGGATTGAGGTCGAAAAGTTTGGCAACGCAGATAGCGGCGGTTTTCCGTACATAGGGCGATTCATCCCGTAACGTTTTACGTAGGGGTTCCTCCATATAATCCACCATTTTATCCACCCTGATACAGCCCATTGTCCTTATAGCTAGCGCTCGTATAAGAGGGTTTGGATCTTCAGAGTCTTGAACAAAGGTATTAACAGCAAGAATGCAGAGGTCGGGGTGGGATTTGGCATAATTCCTACAGCAAATATATCAGTGTCCGGAAAGTGGAATCGCAATATGTGGTTAGGTGTTGAGAACGTGGATCTCACATTAAATATAAATATACGAGTTTCTTCTGGTCCAGGTCGGCGGTAGCTATGTTTTTGAGGACATCAGGGAAGAGCGCTGATACATCCTTGCCTAGGGTCATGGCCATGATTGTCTTCTGGATTGACTCTTTCCTGACACATTGTGAGCACCACTGCTGACGCGCATCGAATCAAGAGGCTAGAAATACCTCTCATGTGCATATTGGGATCTGGGGAGCCGGGTTAGCAACTCTCACAGCAGGCGCATTTGTCCGTCATGCGTACACTAGACCAGCCCTCAGCTCGAATGTCTCTCCCTTTCGAGGCGCCGCAAAGGCACCCCTTATCCGGCTAACCGCCATATGCCGTTGGATTAGCGGGATCCCAACCGCCTTGGAAGGTTGCGAGTTGCTCGGGTCGGGGTGGGGTCAGGAGATACGTTGACGCTGAGAGAAGAGATTCGGAGGGCCGTCCACGATTTGATAGATTTCAAAGTAGATGTGCGCTTAGTCAGAAAGCAATCCCTAGCAATTTATCATTCATCAATGTTTGAATTGAAGAAATGCAATTGGGGGCCGTCGTCTTCAATCTCTCTCTCCATACAAATCAATCAAGCTGCAGACCAATTGCACTAGTCAAGATACGGCTTAGCTGCCCTGTCTTCTAGACTGCTTATGTCAGCCCTCCTACTATCAAAATATCTATGAAAAGGAGAAACTGCCTCAGCAGTATTACTTTGTAAGCACAGAGGCTGCCGCCATATGTTTTGATCCTTCAGTATAGGGGCCTTCTCCCAAGCCGCGCTGCTTAGCGGTCCTTAACTTGTAGGGCTGCAGAGACCAACCCCCCTTGCCCCCGCAAGATCACCCCTAAACTCGAGCCTGCGAATGCCCAAAGTGTGGATTCAAGGGGACCAATATTTATGGTGGCGACCTCCGTACTCTGGAACCTTAGATCATCAACGATGTCATGACCTACTGTGCCTTTAGTACAGCCTATCTCAGAAGCAGTTGCCTCCGCAGTAAGTCATTACCCGGCAATGGCGGAGTTTTGCCTAAAGCCTATCATAGAAGTGCTTAAATACAACCGTTTCACCACATTTTCTTCAAGACTCTCTCAGATAGCATTTTCAAACTCTTTCTCAACTTCTCAAATGATCAAGAACACTTACAATCAATATGTCTCTTATTAAAAAATCATTCCCTACCCGAGAGATCTCCTATGTGAGCGCTCTTCCATCCCCTCTATCTCCCTCAAGCCCTTCTCCGCTACCAGCAAAAGAGATGTTTGGTCTTTCTCAAACATCAAAGGGCAGAGTAATTGGAATTGTGTCACAATCCTCAAAAGAGATTGGTGTAAAAGGCCCGATTGGGCCCAGCATGAATTGGAGGCGCGTCTGAGCTAATTAGCTGAGGCAGGGCGAAAGATGGCTTCTTGATATCCAAGCTCGAAACCGTATCAC